TTTTTTTTTTTTTTTTTTTTTGAACTAATAAATTTTTTTTGTTGCGCAAAACAATTTTGTGCGTAGAATGTCACTGTCAGCATTCATTTACTTTAAAGCGAAATAGAGGGGGACAAAGATGGACAGGTGGGAGAGTGGTGGGGAAGTGGTTAGTGAAGGTGGTGGAAGTGGGGGTGGTATAGGAAGGGGTGAGTCGGGGGAACCAGAATAAAGCGAAAAAACTGCTTGCTGAAGTAAAGTTTGCCATACGTACGACCAACATAGATATGTTATGGGAATGATTATGAACAGTTTTCTGCTCGACTTTCTTTTCAACAGCAGCAGCAACAACTTATATTCTCTACTGATCACAAGTTAAGAACTTTTTTTTTCTTTTAAATTTTAGTTTTATTTTTATTTTTTAATGAATTACTTCATTTTTTCTTTGTTTAACGTTATCACCTGTGTAACACTAAATTTCTACCAATAAAATATACATTAGAGAGATAAATAAAGAAATAAATAAAGGAGTAAAAACGAATTAACTACAAAAGCTTGCGAAGAAAAGTATTGGGCAATATAACCCGCTCTTCCTCATCTTCCCAGCCGTTATTCTTTGTATCAAGAACTGGATTTTTTATCGTCAAAAACAGAAATCAAGAAAATAGCTGAAGGTAGGTGACAGAAGGGGGTAAAGAAATGCGAAAGAGAGGGACTGTTGTGATACTGTTATGATTTTTTTACACTCAGAATTTAATGAAAAAATAGGAAAGATTTAATGGAAAAGTAACTTTTATGATCTGAACAGTTTTTAAATGCTGCTCATTGCTATTGGTTAATTAACATTTTTTGATGATTTTTGAAAAAGCGGAAGAGATTTGAGGATATTCAATTTTTTATAAACAAAGAAAAAATAAGGTTTTCAAAAGAATTTGGTAATCCGAACAACAGAACTTTATTCTTTTTTGAAATGTTTAAACGTTGCTCTTTGTTGCAATTGTATTTTTATTTGTCGTTCTGTTCTCGAAATTTTTTTGAATGTTTTGAGCAGTTTACTGAAAATCGACAGTAACCGTTAAAAATCATCTGTTGGGCATCAGTGGTCGTCGATGGTACCGTCGACTCACCCAGTCAGTCAGCCATTAAGGTTCGTTCAACTTATTGTACCTGCCATACTCGTGATAATCCATTGGTCTTTACTGTATCCATCTTTAGAAACCTTTCGATCTCAACGGAATGCGTTTATTTGTGAAGTGTTTTATTTCCATTTTTTCTTCGTCTGCTCCTTCCTCTTCTTCTTCCTAGAACTTAAGCGATTCCCCTTTAATGCTAATTTTTTCCCGAGCAATCTTTA